AAGCAGTTTTATTCATTTTTATTTTAAAAAATCATTTTATTCCATAAAGTTGGTGCAAAGAATTTAAAGCTACATGGTGTAGGAATTAAATAAAACAGGACCTGGAGTTTTCTCTGGTTGATGAAGTTCGTAATTTAAAAAAAAAAGACAAATTTTAATTATTTAAGATAAAAAAAAGAAAGGGAAGAAGTGGGTGGATTGCCTGTGTCTCATTTGCATTTAAAGAGACAGGCACTCCAAAGCGAGCGCTCTGAACGGGGCTGTTTTGGGTTAGGGTTAGGGTTAGGGTTATGGTTAGGGTTAGGCAGGGGGACTGAACTGCTGCGGGGCTGTTTTGGGTTAGGGTTAGGGTTAGGGTTAGGGTTAGGGTTAGGCAGGGGGACTGAACTGCTATTGGGCTTCATCCTTATGGGATTCTGACCAAAGCTTGTCACAGACATTACATTAGGAAAAAAAAAAGGAAAGAAAAAAAAAAAGAGGAAAATAAGGAGAAAAAAGGGAAATAAAAGGAAGAAAAGGGGAAGGAAAAAAAGAAAAATAGAAAAAAAGGGAAATAAAAGAAAAGAAAAAAAGGAAAAAAAGGGGAAAAAAAGGAAAAAAAGAAGGAAAAAAAGGAGAAAAAAAAGACATTACATTAGGACACCAGGGAACTAGTTTAACTTGTTGAAATAGGGTATAATATGTCTCCTTTAACACTGTGTGTTGTTTAACCTGAGCTGAGATGGAGGGAAAGGTGGGAAAAGCCCTTTTAAAATCCCTCCTCTGTTGCAGCGCGGTGCTGGAGTTCGTGTGTGACCTGATGTACAACATCACCATGAGCCTCATCCACACCTCGGTGCAGGCCGCCGTCTTCCAGGCCGTGCTGAAGCAGGAGATCGCCTTCTTCGACGCCTCGCCCACAGGTGGGTGCAGTAATTTTATTGAACCAAAATCGCACTCTCAGAGAGTGGAAACAAACTACCAAAACAAGATTAACAAGACTATGAGCAAAGTATCAAAATATAAATCACTCTAATGAGGCAGACAAAGCTGTGAACAAAGTATCGAATAAAGTAAACAAGACTATGAACAAAGTGTTAAATCAAAACACTCGCGAACGAGGACAAAAAGACGACGTACAAAGTAACAAAGAAATACTCACTAGGATGCACAGTCACTAGGAGGGAAAAACTCCAAAAGGCATTACTAGGGATCAAAGGCAAGGACTATGGTTCAATACAAGGCTGCACTGTTAGGTCAAATGACGAAAACTCACTGGCACAGGACATGGGAAACGAGGACTATTTAAACTCATGAGGGAAGGGAACCCCAGGTGAACACAATAGGTAATTAAGGAAGACAAGCAGACATGTGACACACATTGGAGTGCAATTGGCCTGAAACAAGAGGATGAACCTTTCAAAATAAACCAGGATGTCACAAAACAACATGGAGACAGGACAAAACACCAAAAATTTCCCCAGACGTGACACAGACCGTCCACTGATGGTACGAAAGAGGGAATTCTGGCTCAAAACTGGAGCTCCATCGTTCTTTTTTTAAACTTTTTTCTTTTAAATTCGCCAGACTTTAGCTGGAAAATAAGCAGGCTGTTGGTTAAATGTCAAACCAAAGCCTAAATTTGTCTTTGCACCAGATGAAAAATGGCTTTTGCCTGAAAAGCCTGAAAAGGAGGAATCCCATTCTCACCTTATAGGGGTGATGTTTGATTCCTTAACCTCCTGAGATCCTGATCCTCCTATGAGGACGCTGCACTTCTGCCTCTCTGTTCCATGATGCTTCCTTTTTATTTGACCTTTGACCTCTTGGCCTCATAGCAGACGCTATCAGACACTAGTGTTTGAAATCTAAAGTAAACATTTTACACCAGTTAAAATGTTGTAAAGTAATTTGGAGCCTCACAACCAAATTGCAAAAACATCTAATTAAATATATAAACACATTTTAAATCTAAAGATAAACCCTGAGCGGCACGGTGGTGTGGTGGTTAGCACTGTCGCCTCCCAGCAAGAGGGTTCTGGGTTCGAATCCCGGGGGAACCAGGACCTTTCTGGCTGGAGTCTGCATGTTCTCCTGTGTCTGTGGGTTCTCTCCGGGTTCTCCGGCTTCCTCCCACCGTCCAAAAACCTGCATGTTAGGTTGATTGGAGATTGGGGAAATTGCCCTTAGGAGTGAATTAGAGTTAGAGGGCGGTGGGATGAGGAATGATGACTACGACATGAGCATTAGCATTAGCATCTCCTAACCCACAGCTCTGTGTCCTAACCATTAAGTTCTTATCAGAGTAAATCCCTGTTCAACATGAGTCTGACAACTAAGTATGTAGATAAAAAACTTTAGACTTTAACACATGCTCTGATAGGCCGGGATCAGATCGGAAGTAAAAAAAGCTGGATCGGGAAATCCCTCATTTACTCTGATAACAACTTAATGGTTAGGACATAGACCTGTGGGTTAGAGATGCTAATGCTAATGCTCGTGTGGGATTGGACTTTTAAAAAACTGGATCTGGAATCTGGATCTGGATTTTCTCCTGCTGGCTGATACGCAGTTTTTTTTGTAAATATTGTCGGCTCATCCCGATCCGGATATGGGATCGGGATGAGCCTAATCGCGGGGAGGCTGACAGAGGCCTTTGGCTTCAGGGGAGCTGGTGTCCCGCATCACCACGGACACCAACGACATGTCGGAGGCGCTGAGCGAGAAGCTGAGCCTGCTGATGTGGTACTCGGCGCGCTTCGGCTTCCTGCTCTACTTCATGCTCAGCCAGTCCTGGCAGATGACCCTGCTGACCTGCATGGGCCTGCCCATCATCTGGGTCATCCCCGAGCTGACCGGGCACTTCCACCAGGTGAGGGGACCCTTCCCCACCAGGGATGGGGATCGTTAATATGCATTGATATCGATACCTTTATCAATAGGGATGGGGATCGTTAATATGCATTGATATCGATACCTTTATCAATAGGGATGGGGATCGTTAATATTCATTGATATCGATACCTTTATCGATACTCAGAGGTGTGACCAAGTCACTGTGTTGCAAGTCTCAAGTAAGTCTCAAGTCTCTGTCCTCAAGTCCGAGTCAAGTCTCAAGTAAAGACGGGTAAAGTCGAGTCAAGTCTCAAGTAAAGGCGGGTTAAGTCGAGTCAAGTCTCAAGTAAAGACGGGTAAAGTCGAGTCAAGTCTCAAGTAAAGACGGGTAAAGTCAAGTCAAGTCTCAAGTAAAGACGGGTAAAGTCGAGTCAAGTCTCAAGTAAAGACAGGTAAAGTCGAGTCA